CACTTTCTCTTTCCATATCCTTCCGTTTTGGAGCCGCCCCGACCTCATCAGCCATTTGGCTGGATTTTTTGTCACTGGCTTGAAGAACTTCTCTTTGATCAAACAGAGACTTTGCGATGTCCCTGTGATCAGCAAGATGTATTCTTCCTGTTCACTGTCTCTACGGGACGATTTAGGTTTGTTTGGACCATCCAGAGGCAAAAGTGTTGACTATGATCTCAGAGCATTGAGATCACACGTCATGTCGTAGCGACTTTGTCTCCTCCCCATCAGGACTGACTTCTTGTCATATTTGTTCTAATAATTTACACTGGATGAATAATATTATTTTTATTATAAAAATATCAAAGTATGAACAAAAATATATTGAGTATCCCCACCACTTGATATTACAGATAGTCCTTGTTCAATGACGCTAAAGTGGGGTGGAAAATTCAGGAGACCGGTAATGGCTCAGTGGTTAGAATGCAGTACTGCAGGCTAACTCACTGCTCACTGCAGGAGTTTGATTTTGACCAACTCAACAATAACTCATCCTTCCATCCCAGAGGAACCCAGATTGTTGAGGGAAATATGCTGACTCTGTCAACCACTTAGAGAGGGCTGTAAAGCACTGTCAAGTGGTATATAAGTCTTATTGCTATTTTGTTATTTCCTCCAGGAAATGACAAAAAAGGGAAAAGGAGTAAGATAAAGAAGATAGATTCTATCTTTGTATGTCTTAGAACTTTCTGTATCTGTATTGTTGTACCTGCAGAACAGTTAAATGGTATTGTCTAGTTAACTGCACTACTGCATAGAAAGTATTTAAATAAATATACCCCCCAAAGCATTCAAGTTGATTTACCAGCTCTGAGCATGCTACAAAATATTTCAAGTAGTTGCAAAAACATGTCTGATAAACTGGAAAAAAATATTTTCAATGGAAATGTGACTCACTGATCTTTCCCTGCTGAATCCAAACATAGGACCTTAGTCTTGAAAGTATGCTGAGTATAAAAAGTCAACCCTCAGAAGATTCCGTTCCCATCCACCACCATAAAATTCTTTAATTGATATCAGGTAGTGGACATAAAGTGGTGTCTAACTGTATACCACTCTTGTATTTTCAGAACAATACTTTTTATTCCAACAATAGAATCATTCCATGGATAATATTTCCAAATTGTATACGTTGAAAATTTGTAAGGCTATGCAACACTACCACCACCACCACCACCACCCCAAAAAAAAACCCTAGGAGAAAGGCTTCTAATATTCCTGTAAGTGATAATATAAGATAGATATGCAGAAAATAACAACTCTTAAGATGAAAGAAGAAACAAATGGAATAAATGAAAAAAGAACACATAAACATAAGAAGGATCCAGGTGAATATGTTGTTTCCTGATTGGCACTGAACTACAAATTAAAATTGTTTCTAGAGAATATTGAGAATAAGGAATGATAACAAGCAAGTCTTTTAGCCTGAGATGGGCAGTATATAGAGTCTTTGTCATAGTAGGATTAGGTGGAATCTTCTATAGATGAATGCAGCTGGGCTAATTTGAAATATTAACACAATTCATGTTAAGTTATATCAAAAAAATGATTAGCTCCCAGTCTGTTTTCAATCTTTTTTAGTATGGAACAAATTTTAAGAGACTAATAGTTTGCCTATCAGCTGTAAGATTGTGTTTTTTAAAAAAGCCACTCTCAGCTACCCCACATGATTCAGCACAATTATTGTACATCGATGCAAGATGTGTGATTGAAATAGACTATCAAGAGCGGAGTGCCCTGTCTTTTTAATGTACCGTCACATCCTCATAGGATGTGCTTAGAGTAATTAATCAGTGGTTTATGAACATGAACTTTCAATGAAGGTACCCTATTTTCCCCAAAATAAGACCCAACTGGAAAATAAGTCCTGGCATAGCTTTTCGGGATGCTCATAATATAAGCCCTACTCCAAAAATAGGACCCAGTTAACATCATCAACCAGACTGGTGCATTTAACACTGTATTTCCCAGAAAACAAGACCTAACCAGAAAATAAGCCCCAATGCGTCTTTTGGAGCAAAAATTAATACAGGACCGAGTCTTATTTTCGGGGAAACACAGTAGTCAAATGTACAAAACCCTGTAATATTACTTATTGCTTTTTCCTCCAGTTTAGGCTGGGAGACTCCACAGTAACTTGGAGGCTCAGCTCTTATATTCCATGTGCAAGTTAGAAGGCTGTGCCAATGGAGGATAACTTTGGGGAATGGACTGGAGTATCTTGAAGAAGGTACAGCAGGTACACTAAGCAGAATCACATTGTATTGCAATATTTTGCTGCCAGCACCACTTGTACTTTTCTGATTCTGTAGTTTTCCAGTCTGGTGATCCTAAACAAGAGGTTCAGTCAAGGTGGACTTGCTTTCCTGAAAATTAGCTGAACCATCATTTCCAATTTCAATGTGCAGCAGCTAAAGAATACTGATGATAATATAGAGTCCATTCTCTATCCAACAATGAGGTACAACATGCCTGGCCTGTACTCAATAAGAACTTATAATGAATTTATTCCAGAGAACACATTAATGCAATGGAATTGTAATGGAAGGAAATACCTTCACAGGAAAAATATGTGATGGGTTTCCTAACCAATTTGAAAACAATGTAAAATATGTGCCTTTGGTGTAAAGAGCAAATTCAAATTTTAAATTACTCCTACCACCAATATTTGTAAAACAAGGTTTTGAAAAACTAGTACAGTTTATAGTTTGAAATGATATCATCTATCTCAAACTCTCTTATACAATGAGATATACAGATTGAATGACATGAAAAACTAGAATCATTATAGAATACTACAAAATTTGCTGAATTTGTATTTTAGAAGGTTAAACTGTGACAACTATATGATCTCATTACTAATTCCTTGCATCACATTACTATAAATAAAAGGATGAACCATAGATTAGATCAGAACAGACTCCAGCCAACATATTACATTCTATGCTCAGTAATGTAATTATCCTGTTATATCTTAATTCTGTCTTTTCAATAAATATTTTCATTCAAGGAAAGACATGTTGGAGGAGCCAAGAAAAAAGAATAAGAAAAAAACTGTCACAACATTTCTATTAGGATTCAACTTTGGATTTAGTCATCTAAACCAAATAAAATGGTATTTATAAAAATGTATTATAATTTTTATTTATATTCATATAAGCCCTTCCTTGTAAATAATTTGAGAACAGCCAACGTTTTAACTGGGAATGCATAATACAAGAAACAAATTTGTTTCCTTAATTAGTAAGAAAAGGA